TTGCAGGGCGTTACAATTATCCACCCCTTAAGAAAATTTCGTCCTCGAAATTTACCTGATCACAGGTCACTGAAAAGATGTGGATAACGAGTGCGCATGGATTCCTCGGTTTCCCATGTCGCCTCCTCGACGGTATGACTTCTCCACAGAACCTTGACCAGCGGAATGGTTTTGTTCCTCAACTGACGGACCTCACGAGCCAGAATCTCAACCGGCTCCTCCTCATACGTAAGATTTTCATCAAGTGTGACCGTATCAGCTGGAATCACATGAGAAGGGTCCGACCGGTACCTCCGGAGCATGGACACGTGGAACACATCGTGGATCTTGCTCAACTCTGATGGTAACTCGAGCCTGTAAGCTACAGGTCCTACCTGCTCAATAACTGGGTACGACCCTATAAACCTCGGACTCAATTTCCCCTTCTTGCCAAAACGTAGGACGCTCTTCCAAGGCGACACCTTCAGGAAAACCTTATCCCCGACTGCATACTCGATGTCACGCCTCTTAAGGTCGGCGTAGGACTTCTGCCGGTCCGAAGCCACCTTAAGTCGGTCCTTAATCACCTGGACCTTCTCCTCGGTCTCACGAACCAAATATGGACCTTCCAACCTCCTCTCGCTGAGCTATGTCCAGCAGGTAGGAGTACGACAGGGTCTACCGTACAGAGCCTCGTACGGTGCCATACCAATGCTAGCCTGGTAACTGTTGTTGTATGCAAACTCCATGAGTGGCAGGTATCGCTCCCAACCATCCCCGAAGTCGATTGCACACGCACACATCATATCCTCGAGAATCTGAATCACACTCTCCGACTGACCGTCTGTCTGAGGGTGGAACGCCGTACTAAAGTGGAGATCGGAGCCCAATGCCCTCTGTAGACTCTTCCAAAACTGTGATGTGAATCGAGGGTCACGATCCGAAATGATAGATGACGGTACTCCATGTAGCCTGATGATCTCGTGAATGTATAACTCCGCTAATCGCTGGAGTGAGAAGTCACGACGAATGGGGAGGAAATGTGCTGACTTGGTCAACCGATCTACGATGACCCAAACTGTGTCGTGCTTACGTGGTGACAATGGCAGTCCCACGACGAAATCCATCGTAATGCGATCCCACTTCCACTAGGGAATGGTGATCTGCTGAAGCAATCCTGAAGGAACCTGGTGCTCGGCCTTGACCTGCTGACAAGTCAAACACCGCGACGTGAATTCAGTGATCTCCCGCTTCATCGCGAGCCACCAGTAATGTCTCCTAAGGTCCTGAAACATCTTGTTACTACCCGAGTGCATGGTATACACAGTGCTGTGTGCTTCACGAAGCAGGCGTTCTCTCACCTCCCCCGCTGGCACAACCATACGCCCCCGATAGTACAAGATACCATCTCGAACTGCAAAATCCGGCTTCTCTCCTTGGGAGACGAGCCCAACGGTCTCGATACAGAAATCATCACTGCTCTGGGCTGAAGCTATCTGCTGCTGTAATGTAGGTTGGACGTGTAGCACAGCTAGAGTCTTACGACTAAGGGCATCGGCTACCATATTCGCCTTACCTGGGTGGTAAGCGATGTGACAGTCATAGTCCTTAATCAACTCTAACCACCTCCTCTGCCGGAGATTCAGATCCTTCTGCGTCAACAGGTACTGAAGACTCTTATGGTCGGTGAAGATACGCGTCGTCTCACCGTAGAGATAATGCCTCCAGATCTTCAAAGCAAGTACAATAGCTGCTAACTCAAGGTCGTGCGTCGGGTAATTACACTCATGTGGCTTCAACTGCCGGGACGCATAAGCAACGACCTTGCCCTCCTGCATGAGAACACACCCCAAGCCGTTATGGGACGCGTCGCTGAAAACCGTATACTCCACTCCTGGAGTGGGCTGGACTAGAACGGGTGCCTGGGTCAGACACTTCTTCAGTCGCTCGAAACTCTGCTGGCAAGCGTCAGTCCAAATGAACTTGACGTCCTTCCTCATCAGTTTGTGTAGTGGCGATGCTATAATGGAGAAGTCCTTCACGAACCGTCGATAGTAACCCGCCAGTCCGAGAAAACTCCTCACCTCACGTGCATTCCGCGGAGTCTTCCACTCCGTGACCGCTGCTATCTTACACGGGTCTACCTTCACACCTTCGGCCGAGATGACATGGCCGAGGAAGGTAACCTCGTGCAACCAGAACTCACATTTGGACAGCTTGGCATAAAGCTGCTGCTCCCGAAGAATGCTCAGAACGACACGCAGATGCTCGGCATGCTCCTCCTGTGTCTTGGAGTACACCAGGATGTCATCGATGAAGACCACAACAAACTGATCAAGATGCTTCCGGAACACACT